AAGAAACTAAAGAATAGAAAAGATATAGTTATTCTGCCGGCTAATAAAGGAAGAACAACAGTAATCCTGGACACAGAAGACTAAATAAAGAAAGCAGAGGATTTACTCAAAGATAATAATGTATATCAACAGTTGACGAAAAACCCTATACAAACATTCGATAACCAAATCAGAACAACGTTAAATAAACTAACGAAGTCAGGACAAATTACAGAACAAGATCAATGGCGAATGAGATCCAACGGATCTATTTTACCTCGACTCTATGGTAGACCAAAACTACACAAACCAAACATCCCCTTACGACCAATCGTTTCGCTTCCAGGAACACCAACATACAATCTATCTAAAGAACTTTTCAGGAAGTTAAATTACGTAACTGAATCATGCGACAATTCTATCAATACTCCAACCCTATTTTTAGAGAAAATCAAAAACATTCAGGTAGAAGACAATGAAATAATGGTATCTTTTGATGTCACAGCATTATATACTTCAATTAGTCCAAAACTAGCAACAGAAACTATGCAACAATTACTCTATAGCGATGAAAACATAAAAACGCAATGTTCAACTTGGATAGAACTCATAAAAGTATGCCTTACAACATACTTTCAATTCAATACTCAAATATGTGAGCAAATAAAGGGAAGACCAATGGGATCGCCCATATCAAGATTAATAGCTGAAGCCGTTATGCAAAGATTAGAATTAATAGCTCTACCTATAATTAAACCAAAAATGTGGGTACATTACGTTGATGATACATTTGTAATAATTAAGAGAAATAATTTAGAATATACCCATAAATTAATAAACAACATATTTGAAGACATCAAATTCACAAGAGAAGAAGAATTAGATAACAAAATCCCATTTTTAGATGTCTTAATCAGGAGAACCAACACAGGAAATTTAGAAACATAAGTATATAGAAAATCAACGCACACAGATCAAATACTCAACATTCTAGCAATAATCTGATTACTCACAAAAGAAACTGTGTGCAGACATTGTTTAGAAGATAAAGTCTCACAGTGTTATACAATAATGTTTACGGTAAACATTACTGTATAACACTGTGAGACTTTATCAAAACAAAATTTACCCATAATGGAATTACACTCTACCACAGTGCACAAGTTTTATTCTTATATCACTGTTTAGAAGAGTTCAAACACATTGTAGCACACCAGAGTTGAAAAGAATGGAAGAAAAATACTTACAAACGGTCTTCAAGAAGAATGGTTATCCAAAAAATTTCATCGAAAAGTATTTAAAGTCGAATAAAAGCACCAACAAAGAACCATCACCAAAGACCAAAAAGAAATTCATCCTACCATACATCAGAAATATCTCTGAAATAACGGCTAGAATAATGAAACCGTTTGATATAGATGTAGCACACAAACCAGCCGAATCGATTAATTTGATCTTATGCAAACCAAAAGATCCAATAGAAAAGGGAGATAAAAGTAACACCATTTACAAAATAAATTGTATGAACTGTAACAAACACTACATCGGCCAAAGTGGGCGTCCCCTTCGAATAAGAATCCAGGAACACAAATCAGCCGTGAAAAGACATGATATAAATTCTTTAGTATCATTGCATACACACAATTATGGACATCAATTTGACTGGGATAATATCAAAATCTTAAACAGAAGAAACACCAAATGTGCCAGGGAATTCCTAGAAGCCTGGTACTCAAATGAAAATGCCATTAATAAACACGTTAATGTAGATGAAATATATCAACTAATAAAAAGAAAATCAGGTGACCAGAAAGTTTAAAATCCCAATCAATAGGAAACGGTCGATACATATGTAAAGGTGGTTGGTCACCAGGAGACGCAATTGTATCATCATTCATGGGGATTTTAAATCATTTGACTTTATGCTAAATACTGCGCTGAAGATGTCGTCCAGAAAGACGACGAAAGCTCCGCAACTAAACCAACCAGCTCAGAGAACACTATTAATTGCAAAAGCTTTAGGGTAATTTTAAATTCAACCATGTCACTCTTTGTGTTCCAATAGGAACTTAAAGATTCAGATTTTGAAGTTTCAGTAGTGATGGCACCTTTTTACGGGATGGATAGCTAACCTTATTAGTGACCTTCTGTCTTTGCAGGTGTACTACTATCTAGTAAACTAGGCGAGGTTTAAGAATGTATCGGTTGGGGAGCCTACTAACGAGTGATTTGCTAGTATACTTCTGTTGAACCACCGTCACACAGACTGATATGAAATCCACAAATATACCACCAACCCCACTTATCTGTCTAATTTAGCTCAGTTTGCTTATAATATCCTGTATCGCGAAAACTCACCACGCGTTCATTCACTGTCAATAGTTCAGTAATGTGGATAGTGTGTAATTTTTCTCTGCATTCTGTTATTTTTCTTCTCCTGACCTCGAAGTTTAATGACTCTATTTAACTGGGATTTTGTCAAGTAGTGACCATGTCATCATCGTGATATGGCATCTACACTATGTAAATGGATTAACTATATTTTAATAATGCCTTTGGAAGACATTCGAACTTTACTTTTATGATAAGCTGAAGTCGGCATTTTACTAATTATTCCAAAAGATTTAAATATCTTTTCTCTTCGTTATACATGAAATGAACTGAAATGTTTAAACTTTTATTCTTTTGCACCTAAATTATATCCAATGACGAAACCATATGTTGGGCTTTGACGAGATAAAATAACTGACTAAACGCAACAAGACCAAAATGTGTAAATGTTAGGTCCTTCTAAGTCGAATTTTCCTCTAATCTTTAAATTTTGGTGTAGCAACTACAGATGCGTCTTAAATGGTAAGAAAGTTATTTTCCATGTTAATTGCTCTTCAATGTCTACACACTCAGTCATGGAATTTTTCTACCGTGTGCTGAAATAAAGTTCTCTTCCACTTGTTGTGTTCAAAATATTTTTCATCATATTTCCAGTTTAGATCAATATGTTTACTGATGACATTGTGGTATGTATTCATCTCTGTTTGTTCTGATTAAAACATATATAATGATAACAACAATTTTATGTTGATGCCTCTTGTAATTCCCGGAAAGCTATTTTCATTTAGCAGAGCATAACATTTGAGTACTTGGATTCTCCGGCTTTATTTTTTACCATTTGTTTTGACAGTATGTTTTAAAACAGCCCCCGGTCCTGCAGAAAATTAGGCAGATACATATCAGTAGGGCTGAAACTAATTCTAATTATTTAAAACCCTTGTTTATTGCACATTTGAAGAATTCGTAGGAAACGAACTGATCAATCTAACTAGATATACAATACAAAGGTAAATTCATACAATTCCGAAGTGATTGTAATTACTGATGGCTTAGTGAAAGGGGGTATATTAATCGAGCTTACCATTCAATGAGTGTAACTGTTGCATAATGCTTTTGAGATAATGCTTTAAATAAGGAAATTGGCAAGCAGTTTTAAATAATGGAAGGAGACCAAGATAGCTGAAAACGTGAAGAAACAAAAACGTCTATGTGAAATTAGTAGACGATTCAGTTGATGAATGATATGTTGCACTGATCAGCTTGTGAAACAATACGGGTATTACAAATATTATCTCTTGTTCTACTGAAATAATATGAGCGAATTTCAAGATCCTATTCGGATTGTACCCGAGCGATGGCCTGCAACTCAATGTCGTTTGACGGTTTTCTCAGAGTTTGTCTTCTCTTCCTCCTACATATTTGCTGAGCACTAGGTTACCGGTTAGTTTGTTCCCACAGGTTCTTGTTGCAAATTCTTTCCGGCTGGTCATCTGCATCTTCAGGAGCCGTCGATAGCAGCTATTGATAAGAGTTTGTAACAAGCGCTTCGAAATGCTTTTCCTGACGTGAACGCCATGTTTCTCAACCATACAGAAGAACTAACTGACTTCACATTTGTGTTGAATAGAATCCAAATCTTGTTCTATATGCTGAGGCAAGGTGCAGAAGAACTCCAAACTGCTTTCAGGTTGATGAAGGTGGACCTTTTGCCTATCCGATTCTGGTCAGCTTTGACATCTTCATTCGTTCCGTCTTCCTGTGGTTGAAACGATTCTGTCTAGATAAGTGAATGAAATGAAGTCTTTCGAATTTATTCTGTTGATAATGATTGGTGCTATTTGTTGACACTCTTACGATTTTGCAGTCTTTTAAATATATAAAAAATATATTTATTGAAACCACAAGGATTTTTAAAGAAATAATTCTAATGTAAATTTGTTCCAACTTCAGGAAAATAAATAATCAGCCTGAATACTGATGTTCTGCATGTAAATCGAAAGGACTTCAAAATAATCATCATAAAACAGCCAAAAACTAACTGAAGATAAAACAGTATTCACCAAATTGCTCTAGATCTTAGGTACACTTCAAATTTCCAGTCGATTAGTTTTCACCGTAAACCGGTATAAGTTGCTTTGAGAAAATAAAACACTCTTCTCTATTGATTAACTAGATAAAAACGTCAACTTTCAGACTGTTTACGGTCTACTTAGAGTTGTAAGTTGATTTTTAAAAAAATTTTAAAAATACTCTTACGTAGTCATGAAGTAACGCAGAAGAATCTGCTTTAAAATAAGAGAAAAAGATGTTGAAAAATTTCAGTCTATCAAACTTTATGTCATGAAAATTGAAACACCAAAACTTAAAAATAAAAAGTTGTTATCTGGCATAGAGAAGGTAGTATTATGAGCCGACAATTACAATCTAAAATAATTAATTTTTCCATCTAACTGGAAGACACCATTACACTGATCAAAAGAATAAGGCTAAGTGCTTGACAGGATGTTATCCCAAACAGCTATAGTTAATAATTTTGCTTTAGATAAGTTTGATTAATATTAAAATTGTCTATAGGATAAAGACCTGTGGAATCAATGATAAACAATGATAATAACTTTATGCATAATTCCTTGTTATTTTATTTACAGTCAACAGAAATGTTATTACAGGTCTATTCATAAACCACTTACCCAGTTACAACGACAACAAAATCCAGTATATTCCAAATATTTCTTAGATAAGAACCATTATGAAGTATAAATCCAAGTGCAATAATTTTCAAAAAAGCTTCACATGTAAAAATGCCCAGAAAGTAATTTTCTGTTATTTCCTGTAAATAAAATAATGAAATAGTGGAAATATGCTTGAAGAACAACATAAAGAAAAAGTGATATCATATATACACTGAAAATTATATGGGTACTGAATTTAATTTTTTTAAAATACCAGACATTTGATAGTCGATTATGAAGTACACGGTTAAATACGTTTATTTAGAGTGATGTTAAAGGAGGCCTGTAAATTTACTAATTTCGATGAACAAGTCCTGCTAGTCTGTGGTAGAGAATATTGTTTGATAATTATGTCTAAGTAACAGCCCTAAGAGTTAACCATATAAAACTGTGATATGGTTTTGTTCTCTGAGCTGGATAGTTAGTTTGCGAAGCTTTCATCACCTTACTGGGTGACATCTTCAGCGCATACTTCAATTTGAAGTGAGCTTTTAGATTACTCCACGAGTTTATTAATCATCTCTCCTGGTGACCTTGGACGTGATTGGTTGTTTGTGTGTGTCTTCACACCTTCTAGGTTACTTGTATTGGAACTGATTGTTTCTTTGACTTGAACTTTGACCCTTTGTGTGTGAAGTTTCTTTCTTATTGGTTGATAAATTTTGTCTATCTCGATGTGTCTATTGATTGATGATTCACTGGAATGCCAAGCTTCTAAAAATTCTCTAGCATTCTTGTTATTTCCTTCGTCTAATATTTGAACGTTGTCCCAGTCAAATTGATGTCCATGGTTGTCTGTGTGTAGTGAAATGAGGGAGTGGATATCATGTCTTTTGACGGCTAGCTTATGTTCGTGGATACGAAGACGAAGGGGACGTCCACTTTGGTCAATGTAGTGTTTTTCGCAGTTGTTACAGTTTATTTTTTAGATGATGTCGGTTTTGTCTTCTTTCGCTGTTGAGTCTTTTGGTTGACATAGAATTGAGTGCAGCGACTTTGTTGGTTTGTGTACGACGTCAATTCCTAAAGGTTTGAAGAGTCTTGTAGTGATTTCTGAGATATCCTTTATATATGGTGAGGCGAATTTCTTTGTGCTTTCCTTGGTGGCTTTTGCTTTGGTAGGTTGGTTTGGGGGTATATGTCTCTTGATGAAATTCCGTGGATATCCATCCAAAGGAAATAACAAGAATGCTAGAGAATTTTTAGAAGCTTGGCATTCCAGTGAATCATCAATCAATAGACACATCGAGATAGACAAAATTTATCAACCAATAAGAAAGAAACTTCACACACAAAGGGTCAAAGTTCAAGTCAAAGAAACAATCAGTTCCAATACAAGTAACCTAGAAGGTGTGAAGACACACACAAACAACCAATCACGTCCAAGGTCACCAGGAGAGATGATTAATAAACTCGTGGAGTAATCTAAAAGCTCACTTCAAATTGAAGTATGCGCTGAAGATGTCACCCAGTAAGGTGATGAAAGCTTCGCAAACTAACTATCCAGCTCAGAGAACAAAACCACATCAAAATCATCCACCTGAGCTACAAATCTTCTCTATCATATCTATATAAAACTGTAATATATGTGGCTTATAGCATCAGAGATGCCTAATCTTTACTAATGCCCTAGTGGGGCTTATTCAAACTGGTTTATTTATTTAAAAGATAGCATTTCACCACTGTTTCGGTTATATATATATATATATATATTGGCTTGAGCCTCTTTATTTGTAGGACAAATCACAACGGTGAATGCCTATTAATGTCTAAATGGTGCTTATTCATGAGTTGAAAAGTAGCAAGGATTCAATGGGTTTCTTTGGTACTCTTTCCAGCTTGCTGTAGTGAACACGAAAATTAGTTTTTTTTTCAAGAATTGTGTCAATAATCATGAATATCCGAAATGGTTCTGGAAAGCATTTCGATGAAATCATAATACAAAGTCACTTAGACATCCTGTTTAGAATTATGTTGACTCCATTTGATCACGTATTTCAGAACTCCAGCGGAATATTTACCAAAGATCTTCAGCCCTATACGAATTACTACCCCATGAATTTTAGAAATTCATGCAGCACACTAATACAATAGCCAAGGAAAAGTCTCATTCTTTTGTGACCCAGCTGTGTCTCAAGCCAATTAAACCTCACAGTTAATTTCCCGATGACCCTACAAAATATTTGTTCAACGTTTCTTCAATAACTGTATCTGATTTGAAGCTAGAAGCCTTGTCTTTAGACACAAAATTCTGCGATATTAACTTGAGCGTCGACAAACACTACACTCATGTGCAGTTTGAAAATGTAATTAGTCAAACTAATAAACTAATCCCAACTTCTGATAAAGAATCACAACGATTCAAATCAACTATCATCGAATGCTGCCGCCAATACCTCACTACAAAAACAAAAGTCCGCAACCACCTAACAAAGCAGCACCAAGAAGGATCAAAACAGTTGAGGGGCAACAAGGAACTGCCAATAAGCCGTCCTAACAAGGGTTTTCGCGTTGTTCTTTTGGACTGAAATAAATACATGGAGAAAATGTAGCATATACTGTCAGAAAAAAGTAAGTTTCCTCAACTTGCCAACGAAGGAACTGAACTGATTGAAAAACAGCTTACAGATGCCTCGAAAATAGTAAAAAGTGATCAGCTAATTAGTTGCAACAACTGATGATATCCAACTAATAAGCTAAATAATACCTAGGCTTTATGGTTTACCAAGGATATACAAAGTTAGTCACCCACCACGTTCAATCCTAGCTATGTCAGGTTTTCCTTATCATTCTGTTGCAAAAATGGTTGGCTAATATTACGGAAACTGTTAGGAAACATCTATGCACTTACTCGCTTCGCGACACCCCCTATTTGTCAGCTGCATGCAAGATATGAATGTTACTAAAAAGTATGCCATCTTTCGACAATAAATCACTTTTCACCAATATCACACTTAAAGAAACGGCTTGTTTTATATATGTAAATATATAGATGACAACCAGTTCAATACTGGAATACCAACAATCTGTTTGAATGAACTGCTTAGGAGATGTACTCACAGTGTGCAATTCACCTTTTTGATATTAGATGGTTCTGTGCTAGTTAGCAACCATCAGCAAGGTGTATCTACAATCTTGTAAGAAAACATGTTTCTTGGGAGATTCGAAGCTTTGTCACACATTGCTGCAGTCAGAGACGTTACCACTGGGCTATTCAGGCTCGAGACTGACTTCCTGTAGGACTTTATTAGATACTTTGGTTGGACACCAACTAGTGTCATCGGTGATGCAGCTTCAAATCTCACAAAGGACATGAGTCCTTTCAAGATTGTGGATACGCCTTGCTGACGGATGCCAGTAGTCACGAAACCTATTTTTGAGGCTTCCCACCTATCTTCTGCAGCCATCTAATATCAAAACTTCAGAGTGCACCGTGACAGCAAGCCAACAAACACGGTGGCCACATTTCAAAATCAGCTGATAGAATTGAGATTGTGCCAGACAGAGGACTAGACATACTACTCTAGTCACCAACTGGGATCCAATCAAAGTACAGTTAACTTCGTGTGGGGTCAACTGCAGATAAAAGGACGGTAGTGCTATGGGATCTCCCTTGGTTCCATCACTTGTAGTCTGTTTCATGGCTAGCCTTGAGAATGGTCCATTAAAATCGACAACTGACAATTTAAAACTTTATAAAAAGTATATAGACGACATTACCATCATTTGCGACAGTAATTAAGACCCCAACCAGTTGCTACAAGTATTTTGCAATTGCCATCCGGCAATAAAATTTACTCTAAAGATGGAAAACGAACTTGATGTAGACCTAACAAGATGACTCTACAAAACCTCAAGAATGTCAGTCGATAGGAAACCCACTTGGGACTGTCGACTAGGAAGTTTCTACAGTTGTGTGCCTATTGAACGAAGACGTAATCTAATTAAATCCCTCACAACTTGGATCTGACGCATCTGCAGTCATTACATCCTGGAAGTAGAACTAGATCTTCTTGAAGAAACCTTCATCCAAAATAGATATCCGCCAACCAAAAGTCCAGAGAAAGGAAACATTACTTGTTCCACAAAAGAAAGTTTAAATGAACGTGGATTTCCAGGGACACTTAACCAGTAATATCCTTAAGAGGAGAAGAACATTCTTCGCAGCAACGCTAAGAGTAGTGTTCTCCAATAGCCTATCGGTCTGCAGAAGCCTTCAAGACAAGATCTTTCATCTGAACACTTCTGTGTGTATATATCAGTTCACCTATTGCTGTGGAGCCAGATACACTGATCTTTCGACGCGTATCGTGACGAGAATGGTTCATGAATACTATCCCGCGTGGCTGCAGAAAGGTAGTAGTAGCTCTAGAGGCAGTGAAATAAGCGAACATCTAGTCATCACTAACCACTCCATCTCAACAAACGCCTCCTTCAAAGTAATCTACAAAGTGAAGAATAACCTGCCAAAGGCAACATGTTTTCGTCTCCTTTGTATTACTGAAGCCTTAGCCATTCATTTAGAAAAACCAGAGTTATGCATACAAAAATAATCATTCAATCACTTCCACAATCATGGTAACAACTGTATCGATTTCCATTGACTTGATATTTGTGTCCTTGTTTTTTCTAACTCCTTATAACTTTTATACTTCTTCAGAACTCTTAAATAACCCCAAATTTTTCTTCGATTCTATATGCATCCTGATCACAATTCATTCATTAAATTCCAAATAAATTTTAGAAATACTTCTGATTTAGCAGAAGTATTATTTATTTGTTGGTCGGATAGCAAGCTTTTCCTATTAACGATACAAATATATCGAAATGTAATCCACTGTGCTACCGTAGGTTGACTATGATGGAAAGTATATATAAAATTTATTTTCCATAAAAATACTCATGAGACGTTTGTTTTTCATTAACATATTGATTAAAAATTAATCATAATATAAACTAAAAAAGCATTATCAGTAACGTGAACCACTGCATATCATATTGTTGGAAAATTAATTATTTATCTTACAGCAGCAATCCATAAAATTATATCAGATTATGCAAATGACCATTATATAAAATATATATATATGCTAGTACTGTTTTACGCCAGTTAGATAAACCCGATAAGGGATATTGGTGGTCATCTAGTAAAACTACTGGACTAACACACCGTTTTGGCTAACATAACAAAAATCCAGCATTATAAGTAATTTTAAGTATTCACTTCACAGGTTATCAGATACGTTGTTTAGAAAGGATGTTTATCTTATATCAAGGTAGCATTTTCTGAATCCCATAGGATTAACTGCCATTTGATCTAATTAAAATGTGAAGAGATTTAATTTAAAAATCGAATCACATGGGTGAAACAAACTACAAAGTTTCATGTATAGAGTTTCTGCAAAAATGATTAGATGACCATGTGCTGTAACTTTTTAAAATATTGCTGTATAATATTAATACTTAACGCATACCTTGAAATAAAAACCTCTAGAAATGAACAAAGTGATGACACATGTATTGGAAACAATCTATCCAAAATAATATCATCGAAGCCTGATAAACCCTTACTAAGATATTTAAAATCCATCGTTATTAAATAGCGCCTAAAATGATGAAGAAATCTGAGAATGGATTGAAAATATTCCTTTTAATTCACATAAGCCCACTGTATGACGTATTCGTTGGTATGCAACATCTCAGATACTTTTCTTCAATAACAATAACTAGGAGAGATCCCTCATTTAAATATAAACCCAACTCTCCACTTTGTAAAATTGTTATTATCATTATCTTGGTCTCCAAGTGGAACATAAGGATTCAACAGCACGTTTTATTGGACGGAATGTATGTTATGAGTCCCACTTAATGTTGATTTAAAGTTTCTGAAAGCAAAACCAGCTAAAAAAAGCTAATCTTTTCATAGTGGGACATCGAGTTCTGGACTGTTAAATTTAAAGTATATCCTGGAGTAACACTGACCACCCAAAACTTCACTATATGCTTTCTTCGTGTATCGTTTTTGCAGGAGAAATACACTGTGAAACAGCACGCTCACTCTCATGCATATAAAGCATATTAATTTCGAATAAAAATTCTTGTTTCATTTTTCAACGACGCATCAAATTATCAGTTACATCCTTTTATTTCCCTTTAATATTTTCACATAAGTTTATGTATATTAAATTTCATAATTATATGGCTTACACATTAAGTACTTTCTGAAATGATTATGTTCTCTGAGCCGGGTGGAGTAATTGCATAGCTTTCATTATTCTCTGAAGCGATATTTCAAGAAGTTACACATTTTTTGATATCTACATCCGAACGAAACTACCTGCAAGAAACCTACCTCATAGGCCACAATAAAGTCCATCCTACCCCATATGAGGAATAATTATGAAATAACGGCTAGAATACTAAAATCATTCGCTATAGATATTGCACAAGAAAACACCACAATTACTTCATTCATTATTATTTAGACCATACGTCCCATAAAGAAAAGAAGACGAAATCAACACTTTCTACCAAATAAATCAGATCACCTTTGAAAGCCATTATATTGCTCAAAGTTGGTTCCCCCTTTGACTCAGAATCCAAGAAAGCAAACTTTTCGCCGGAAGATACGACATATATTCCTTCGTATCAATGCAAATCGAGAGATATGGATACCAGTTTGCCTGGGAAAGTGGAAACATTCTTAACAGCAAAAGTACTAAAATTGCCTCAGAATCCCTAAACGTCTCGTACTCAGGTTATTTTTCCCTCAGCAGACCTATTGGCACAGATCCTATTTATCAGCTAGTAAAGTGACAAAGCAAAAATGACGAAAATTCAATAAAAAGATCTACAGCAATACAAATCAGAAGCCAGTCACAGCCAAGGTCACCAGCAGAGACAGCTGTCTTATTCGTGGAGAATTCAAAAATCCATTTCATACTAAAATAAATGGAAAAGTTGTCTAAAAAAATAGTGAATGTTTCTCAATTAAACCGCCTGACTCAAAGGGAATAGTCACATTGAAACATCCACCTGATTCACCAGTCCCCATTATTTCAACCGCAAGCACAATTTAGGTGATAGTTCATATGCAACAGTGATACAGAACTCCTAATCATTTCTATTGTGTACGGATGCAAGTGTATACATGATGGATATTGGTAAAAATTAGTAAATGTGAACCTGACAGGTGAATACTTACATCACGAAACGTAAATGGCCTTTGCTCAATTCTAAATGAGTTCATAAGTTTTCATCAATGAACAGACATAAACTAGGATTAAACTGCTGTCTCATGATAACTGTTTTCAAATGCTTCCCTGGTTAACATTGGTATGTAATATACTAAATTTATGTGAACAAACATTTACTGCCTCATGAATATCAAGGAAAGGAACTTAAACATCAATCAGTGACTACACTTTTAAAAATCAAATCCCAACAAAGCAACTCCTGAGCAAAATGTATCCCAGACTTTGTCAGTTAAAAATAGGGCTTTAATTAACAGTACAATCCATATCATTTCATAAAAACAAGTAATTTTAATTTCAAATTAACATACTACTTACCAGTTTTTCAGATAATGGGCGCTTGTCTTTATTTGGTAAGTGGACTTCCATTGCCAAAACAACACAATTGGCTATAATAGTCGATAAGACCATGTACTCAAAAGGCGTATACACGTCAAATTCAGAATGATAATTACAATTCCGATAACAATGGGCAAATCATATTGAAATGGAGAATTAGGAAATTAATCATTTGATTGATAATACGCACCGATAGGAAATACACAAGTTAAGGAATTAGCGCTCAGGTTGAACAAATAAAAGATTACAATCGGATTACTTAGGATAAAGCCATAAGTAATACGATTAATTAACTGACTAAACAAAAATGAATAATTCGAACAAATTCAGGAGAATACGAGAAATTCGAATCAACAAAAGCTCATGTTATTAGCATATTTTGCTCCTTTAAGTCTTGTCTTCTTTGTCTTACACATTATGATTGTTTAACCACAATGAATAAAAAAGTACGCGCCTAATGTAACTATTCCACTATTAAAGCTGAAAACGTAATCGCAGTTGCTGCATATTTTAAACAAAAAGTCTATTGCATTTGTTCAGTGTAGTACGTACTCTTGGAGAGTGTTCTTTTAGAACTGGTAATTATTCCTACAGCAATACTGTCATTTTACTAAAATCAGTCACCCCACAAAATTTATATTTTCTTTAAATATGTAAATACATATACCTAACTAACTCTCTAACTAATGTCAGCTCATGATGAAATCCTGAAACATATACCTATAGTTAGATAGCCTAATAATAACCCTGTATTTCAAGTAAATTAAAAGTGGAAAAAACTACATGATATTTTAGAATATTTTTACGACACAAATGCATCTTAGTTTATTGTTAAATACAGTCTAATTCTGGGTTATGGTTACGTGGAATGTTTATTTTATCCCAAGTTTTTGGATCAGTACAACTTCACTTATAATTAATTTATGCAGTGTACTTATATTTCGAGTGATTATTGAGATGAGTGGGTTAGTGTTTCCTAAACACGAACTTTTGTGATAATTAATGTATCTGAAACGCAGAATACACAGTGTTGATTCTATTCTTTAAAAAATTTCTTACCGTCTTTTGTTATATTATTATTATTGTTCCATCGGGTTCCAAGTGGAACATAGGGCATCAACAACACATCTCAACTTTATTCAATTTTCTGCTGCCCTCTTCATCAACTGGACCCATGGCTGCTCGTAATTTCTCATCTCCTCACATGATCTCCTCTATGTCATTCTCGGACTGACGACCCACTTGTCGATTCCCACTCAGGTTTCACTCAAAGGCCTAGCACACGATGTGATTCGACAGTCTCCTCTGTGTGTCCCCAATCCATCTCCATTTTCTTCTAAATATCTTTTGAGCAATCAGCTCTTGGTTGGTTTCTTGCCCCAGTTCCTTCTTGCTAATTCTTTCCGGCTAGCCATCTGGTCTTCAATGTGTAGCCATCAAAAGTAGTTATGGATAAGAGTTTGTAACAAGCGCTTCGAAATGCTTTTCCTGACGTGAACGCCATGTTTCTCAACCATACAGAAGAACTAACTGACTTCACATTTGTGTTGAATAGAATCCAAATCTTGTTCTATATGCTGAGGCAAAGTGCAGAAGAATTCCAAACTACTTTCAGGTTGGTGAAGGTGGACCTTTTGCCTATCCGATTCTGGTCAGCTTTGACATCTCCATCCGTTCCGTCTTCCTGTGGTTGAAACGATTCTGTCTAGATAAGTGAATGAAATGAAGTCTTTCGAATTTATTCTGTTGATAATGATTGGTACTGTTTGTTGTCACTGTTGGTTGGTTATCTTTATCACCACCTGGATTCCTGTCTTCACTGTGAGCCTTTTCTCTCAGTTTGTCGGTCTCCGCCTGCAAGTCTTCGAATCTGTGTGACGTCAAAAATACATCATCCACGCGCGAAATCCAGGTCTTCTAGAATCGCCTTAGCGATCTAAAGTATTCCTGTCTTCTTATTACTATCTTTCTAATAAAACATTATTGGTAAATTTGGCAACATATTTATCTTAACTGTATGCTTATGTTTGAGTAAACACTGGTAAAATGTCAGAATAAATTCATAAAACCAACAAGAAAATGTACTACATTCACGAATTCATCATTTAATGTTATACGTTTGCGTTGTTTGGAGGAAGCTGACTTAGGAAAACAACAATTTAACTGCTTCTCATTTCATTTAAATTATAAGAAAAAAGGTTTATCTTATCTGAATTCCCCATACAATTCATATCTAAGGAATATTAGGACTCTATTTCAAACAAATCAATATAGGGTGTATTCTGATAATTTTAGACATGGTATTCTTTTTGAAATAAATTATAATGAGGAATGAGCATGCGAATGCTTATTTAATCAGTGTTGCATTCTTGTGGTAATAACGGTCGATGAGACAAGAGATCAGTGAAGGAAGAAGGCACATTATAAAAATGTTGAAAAATACTCAAACCATAGATATTGAGACTATCCTGGAATAATTTGGGCACCGTGTCATATTGGGTCATTATAAATTTATTCAAAATAATCCAAGAGTATTAAAAAAATTGAAATAAAATAAATAAAAATAAATTGAATTGTCAGAAGTTAGAATTCATGGGCCACTGGATTGGGTCCCAGTGGCTTAATGGTATACGAGCTCGCCTTGTAACCAGAAAGGTCCTGGGTTCGAATCCTGGTGGGCGCGTACTCCTGAAGAGTCCCGAACTACTAAGAAACAGCTGTCCGGTACTCCCAGGTTTTCCAGTGGTTCTCTAACTAATGTAAGCTTATGGTGAAATCCTGAAATAAGATTTTTTAAACTCTGTAGTTTACATGACGAAACGTTTAGGAAAACTTCACTTTGATTTTCTTAACACGTTGGGATTATTTTAAATGATATTATAAGGCAACTCAAAAAATGAAGAAGTATTCCCATTTATTCACCTCGTTAAACTGGAACCTATTTGTACCGTGAGGCTTGATCGTTCACTTGTAACAGAAGCTTCAGGTAACCCATATTATTTATTCTAGTTTGCTCGTAAATAGTTTACACGGGGTTAAATAGTTATCTGCTGTTTTTCGCTTTTTCTCTACAAAAGATCTCTTCTTCACTTTTTTTATTTTATCTTATATACTTTCTAATGTTAATATTTGTGTTGATAAGCATTATTGTTTTTTTGCTTAATGTCTGAATGTTACTCACCATTTTAGTGGATATTGACTTAGTGTTGGATAAGATGGGTTTCTTGGTAGAGACACTGATATCCACCGGTATATATATATATATACATTTGTGTGTGGTGATTCCAGAATACAACGAAACATATATTATGCACTCCAGAGAATAACAACAAAATTATAATCGACCCAAACACTATTATTTTGTCAGAAGTTCATTGGCTGTGATAAGTTCTGAACTTGCTCGATTCATTTGCCTTAACTTGCTGAAAAGTTACAGCACAAGTCATGTAATCAAACGCAGAATTTTGACAACAAAGGAAGTGTCAATATCTTCCTAGATAGAATTTCTTCCTAATATTGTATATATAAGTTTCTAAATTGGAATTAACTGTCGTAAATCACAAGATTCGGCTGTTCGTGAATATTCTCCAGTTATTTTTTTAATGCTCTTCAGTATAGTAAATCCATCATAACGAGTAGATCTCATTTTATCATCGTTCAGAAATCAGCAATATCAAAATGAATTTTGCCTGAAAAATGCTTCTTGTATTAAGTATCACTACCTAATCTAATGTTTGAAAAGTTAATATAGATATATTTGGAGAGAGAGAGAAAGATAAAAAGTCTTAATCTCTATGAAATAAGGATCTTTGCGTATTATTATTATTATTATTATTGTATCCTTTAGTTCCTAGAGGAACATAGGGCTTCAGCTCCACACCTCCATTGCCTTCTGTTTTCTGACAACTTTTTCACCCTGCTCCAGGTCTGTCCACATGCTTTCATCTCCTCCTCGCATGATCTCCTCCAAGTCACCCTTGGACGACCAACTCGCCGCCTCCCTTTCGGGTTCCATTCGAGGGCTTGTCTAGTGATGTCACTTGTTGGTTTCCTCAGCGTATGGCCAATCCATCTCCATTTCTTTCTGCCTATTTGTTTCACAATCGGTTCCTGATTGGTTCGCTCCCAGAGATCCTTGTTGCTAATCTTTTCTGGCCATCTGATCTTTAGTATTGAGCGAAGACAACTGTTAATGAAGGTCTGAAGTTTGTTTGAGATGCTCTTTATGACTCGCCAAGTCTCTGATCCGTATAGTAGCACTGACTTTACATTGGAGTTGAAAATCCGGATCTTATTTTTGATGCTGAGTGCTGTTGACCTCCACACAGATTTGAGAGTAATGAAAGCTTGTCTTGCTTTTCCGATTCTGGCTTTGATATCCACGTATGTGGATGCATAATCATTCACTAGTGAGTCGGCGGCTTAGCGGTAGAATACTCGCTAACTGCGCATGTGGTCCGGGGTTTGATTTCCGAGCGAAGCACTCCTTTAACTCTCCAAGAATATGATAACACAGGTAAAGAGAGAAGGCTGAGAGTTGAAATAGCAACCACTAACCGTAGAAATAAACACCACTGCTATCGAAACTTCAAAACTCTAGCTTAAATCCCTATGTAAAGGGATAAATTTAAATAAATCAATAATAAAAGTAGTGAGTAAAGGTAATCAGCTGAAATGTTTAACTTTTTCAGCTCTTTCATTTCAAATACGGTAACTAATTCTTGATACAAATAATTACTTCCAAGTTATACCGTTTCAGATTCTATTTGTTGAATAAAAAGTATGTAAGAGCGATTTACATAAGCATGTAACCACTGCTTCACACTATTGATCAATTCCACTGAGTATCTCTTTAGACTAAAGCATTTATTGACGGTGAGACTGGCTGTGATAGTCTCGGATTGACAGATCAGCATTGATGTATTGAGTGATGATCTAACGTGGAATGATAATATGAGTCACAGTATGATTTGAACCAGCACTCATCAGACTACTAACTGTGCTCAATAGTAGTAGTCTGTCGATCAAAGCTATCCTAGATAGTCAATTCAACAATTAACAAACTTCACCTCCATTTCTAACTCA